GTCAGCATGCCAATTGCACGCTCCCTCAAAACTTGCGACATCTGTGGCATTGTGCTGTGTGATAAAACTGCACATTTTAGAGTGGCCTTTTATTGTGGCCAGCCTAAGGCACACCTGTGCAATAATCATGCTGTCTAATCAGCATCTTGATATGCCACGCCTGTGAGGGGGATGGATTATCTCTGCAAAGGAGAAGTGCTCACTAACATAGATTTAGACAGATTTGTGAACAATATTAGAGCGAAATAGGCCTTTTGTGTACATAGAAATAGTCTTAGATCTTTGAGTTCAGCTCATGAAAAATGGGGGCAAAAACAAAAGTGTTGCGTTTATAATTTTGTTCAGTGCGGATCTGTGAGATCTGTAAGTGCTGTGTATCTGTTTGAGTTTTCTCGGTGTTTCATTCAGAAATCATCACATAGAAACACTAATAATAAATAAGAGAGCACTGACAGCTCTTGTGCTGTTTTACTTCAGAATGAAGAACAGAGATTTTTACATTCAGCAAACATCAGAGGGGACAAAAGCACATTTGTGTTTGTGCAACTGAATCATCAATTCTTATCATTTGTTTTACTTCCTGTGAATCTGTTTTCTTTCTTTTAGTGTAATGATGGAGAAATACAGACCCTTATTCAGACTGCCATTACATGGACAGGTGTAGATGATGTGACATCCCAGAAGTGTGTTGCTAATAGGATGTCCCTTGATCAGGCCGAGACTCTATGGGTGGATGTCGCTAGTGGGATGTCCCTTAATCAGACAGAGACTCTACGGGTGGATGTCGCTAGTGGGACGTCTCTTAATCATACAGAGACTCCACAGATGGATGTTGCTAGTGGGACGTCTCTTAATCAGACAGAGACTCCACGGATGGATGTCGCTAGTGGGACGTCTCTTAATCAGACAGAGACTCTACAGATGGATGTCGCTAGTGGGACGTCTCTTAATCAGACAGAGACTCCACAGATGGATGTCGCTAGTGGGATGACTCTTAATCAGACAGAGACTGTGCAGACGGATGTTGCTAATGAGACGTCCCTTAATCATACTGAGACTCCAAGTGGATCTTTACATTCAGCAAACCTCAGAGAGGACGAAATCATCAATCCTGATAAATTGTTTTACTTTCTGTGAATCTATTTTCTTTCTTTTAGTGTAATGATTCAGAATTTCAACCCCTTAATTAGACTGCCATTACGTGTCGCTGATGTGACATCCCAAACGTGTGTTGCTAATAGGATGTCCCTTAATCAGACTGAGACTCCACAGACTGATGTTGCTTATGGGACGATCCAGACCGCCTGACATCTTGACAAATTTAAAAGTGCTGCCTAATGCTAAACTTACATTCAGTAAGATTGTTATTCACGTCGGCACTAATGATGTTCGACTGTGTCAGTCGGTGTCAGATCACTAAAAATAACAGTAAAGAGGTGTGTGAACTTGCAAGTACGATGTCAGACACTGTAATATGCTCTGGTCCCCTCCCTGCTTACCATGCTGATGAGATACATAGTGAAATGACAGCGGTATATTGTGACCTCACAGTAGTTATACCATACTGTGATTAATCAGTATGCTCCTGTAGAATTACTGTATTTAGCTGTGAGGTTACAGTTAATGACATCAGATTACTGCAATTTAGCCATATTCTGCTGTAGAATTACAGTGTAAACTGTAATGGTCATGCAACTCAGTAGCCAGTAATGTGCTTTTAATTTACTATAAAAAAAATTAAATGTAAAGTCGGCAACACCAAAGCTCAAAGTTTAAAAAATGTATTTAAAAAAACGTTAGAATAGCGTGTGATGGTTCAAGCATGCAGGCTCTTCATCAGACAGAATTCATCAGAATACATTTTTGATACTTTTGGAGCTTTGGTGTTGCCGACTTTACATTTAATTTTTTTTCAGAATTTCAACCCCTTAATTAGACTGCCATTACGTGTCGCTGATGTGACATCCCAAACGTGTGTTGCTAATAGGATGTCCCTTAATCAGACTGAGACTCCACAGACTGATGTTGCTTATGGGACGATCCAGACCGCCTGACATCTTGACAAATTTAAAAGTGCTGCCTAATGCTAAACTTACATTCAGTAAGATTGTTATTCACGTCGGCACTAATGATGTTCGACTGTGTCAGTCGGTGTCAGATCACTAAAAATAACAGTAAAGAGGTGTGTGAACTTGCAAGTACGATGTCAGACACTGTAATATGCTCTGGTCCCCTCCCTGCTTACCATGCTGATGAGATACATAGTGAAATGACAGCGGTATATTGTGACCTCACAGTAGTTATACCATACTGTGATTAATCAGTATGCTCCTGTAGAATTACTGTATTTAGCTGTGAGGTTACAGTTAATGACATCAGATTACTGCAATTTAGCCATATTCTGCTGTAGAATTACAGTGTAAACTGTAATGGTCATGCAACTCAGTAGCCAGTAATGTGCTTTTAATTTACTATAAAAAAAATTAAATGTAAAGTCGGCAACACCAAAGCTCCAAAAGTATCAAAAATGTATTCTGATGAATTCTGTCTGATGAAGAGCCTGCATGCTTGAACCATCACACGCTATTCTAACGTTTTTTTAAATACATTTTTTAAACTTTGAGCTTTGGTGTTGCCGACTTTACATTTAATTTTTCTACTTGTCTTTTAGTCGAGCACCCTTTTGAGATTGATGTGCGTGCTTTTGTTTGCATTTTTGTCTTTTAATTTACTATAAAATTTATTGTTAATATAAAAAAAACTTTCATTTTAAAGTTTACTGTTAACTTCTTATAAAATACTGTAATTTTATGTTAACCCATCAATAACCTATAACACTGGAAAGAGGTGTTCAATTCAAATAAACACAAAAACGATAAATTTACACATTTATTTTGCAGTTTAATAAATTCTGTCTAAACTTTCCAGCAAAGAGGTTTAGACGTTCATGCTTCTCTCCACTGACCAGGGCACACTGTAGAACATATTCAGTGATCATTTTACTGCATGATTACATCTAGCTTAACACAGAGCCAGTGTTTGGTATGTCCATTCTGGTGTTGGAACATTGCTTACACACTGGATTGATGTCCACTCAAACTCAATGAGTTTCCTGATCACTGTACAGATTTGCTGGTTGTGGTATGTCCTCTCTGCCTCTTTGCCTTTGTGCATGTCTCTGGATTGATGCCCAATAAGTACCTACGAACAAAAAGGCAGAGAGGAAAGCTGTTAGTTTCTTTCAAGTCGGATGAAAAGGTATCAGTTCCAAGTCACCACCTTCAGTGGGTCACTGATGTGGCAGTACAGACCAAAAAGGTGATATTAACCCTAACCATTTACTTAAAAACATGCAGCTTAAAAACATTTCCATCACAAATACAGAGTCAAGAACAGTCCTGCAACAAAGTAGAGGTGTATGATTTATCCAGGCAGAGCATTTGCACACAACAATGTACATCATTTACATATATGTACTTGTTTGAGGGGGAGGAGGGTGGTCATCACCACTTGGCTGCTGTGGTCCTGCGTGGCTTGCAAAATCACAACACATCCAAACATTCCTTGTTTAACCCACCAAATAAAAAACAAGCCTCTCAAGTACAATAGTATATGTAAAAAATTACCTTTGGTAAAAAGCATCTTCAGCATACTTCAAATTGAAATTGTAGTAGCTGGCAGAAATGGCAGCCAGACCAGTTATGAAATCAACTTGACCCTCCAATGTTATGTCACCTGAAACAAAAACAGATATACTGTTATCTACTGTTCAGAATAGAAATCAAGATTTATTTATTTAAGAAACTAGAGTTAAAAGAGTAGTTTGACTCTTAACTACTGAGTTTTAGATGACTAATTTTAAAAGAAAGTAATTGCAATCCACTTTATTTTTCACCGTAAGCTGTTTTCTGTGTGTGAGATGTGTGAGACTTCCGGTTCATTACCCAATGTAGGGAAATAACAAGAAGAATCACAAATGAATGGTAAAACTGCACTACAACCAGAGTGTTCATAATTAAGATAATACATTAAAATAATATGGTAAGACAACACCATTTTGCAAGTTTAAGCAGTAAAACAAGCTGTTCTGTACAGCTAAAAATAGGGCGGATGAGACCGGAAGTCAGACATTAAATTTACAAATGTGACCCTGGACCACAAAACCAGTCATAAGGGAATTTTTTTTGAAATTGAAATTTATACATCATCTGGAAGCTGAATAAATTAGCTTTCCATTTATGTATGGTTCGTCAGGCCAAGAAACAACTATGCGAAAATCTGGAATCTGAGGGTGCAAAATAAATAAATAAAATATAAATATTGAGAAAATTATCTTTGAAGTTGTCCAAATGAAGTTTTCAGCAATGCATATTACTAATAAAAAATTTAGTTTTGATATATTTACGGTAGGAAATTTACAAAATATCTTCACGGAACATGATCTTTACTTAATATCCTAATGATTTTTGACAAAAGAAAAATTTATAATTTTGACCCATACAATGTTTATTGTTGGCTATTGCTACAAATATACCCCAGCAACTTAAGACTGCTTTTGTGCTACATGGTCACAAATGGCCGCGTCTGCTCTTACGAGAAAAATAATTTGAATAAATTCTAAATGCTGAGCCTATGGGTAAAAAGTAAATACATTTCCTAAGGTGTATAATTCATAACGTTACATAACTAATCACTGAACAGTTTTGATAAACAGTTTTTAAACATTTTTTCAAGGCCAAATCATTAAATTCGGAAGTGATAGCAGGTCTAAATCGTTTATGTTGACTTCAGGCAGTGAGGCAACATTTTTGTTTACATTTAGATCCTTTAAATGAAATGAACACATCATTAGTATCATAGTCTGAACCATTCTCACTCTACAGCAGTGTCTTTTTCTAGAAATCATGACCCGGTTATTGTGAGCAGTTTCATGTAGAAATTATCTGTAGAAAGAAAACAGTTCCTTCATGAAACTGCTCACAACAAATTTGTGGACGACTTGACACTTGAAAATACAATAAAAATGAGAAGGACAACATTACCTTGAACAATCAAGCAAGCTAGGGGTGCTTAGTAGCGTCAAAGTCACTTAAACGTCAGTGGCTGAAGCTGTAGCACAAGGCTGCAAAGATAATATATCATATGTATATACAGTGGGTACGGAAAGTATTCAGACCCCCTTAAATTTTTCACTCTTTGTTATATTGCAGCCATTTGCTAAAATCATTTAAGTTAATTTTTTTCCTCATTAATGTACACACAGCACCCCATATTGACAGAAAAACACAGAATTGTTGACATTTTTGCAGATTTATTAAAAAAGAAAAACTGAAATATCACATGGTCCTAAATATTCAGACCCTTTGCTCAGTATTTAGTAGAAGCACCACAAATAATCCCTTGCCCCCATCGATTTATCTTATGCACACTTCATTTTTCAGTTGACGAGGCAGACAGGGAAGAAAATTATGAAGAAGCCAAGTTTACATTTACTCTACCTTTGCTATAATCCACGACACTATAATTTATCTGGTTGATAATAACAATAATAAGGCCATCTTACCTTACAACTTAATTCCCTAGTGGTCACCATTGTGGAGATAAACCTACACAAGAAAAGAGATAGTTTTTAGCTCTAATAAAAGCTAAAGTTAAGAGAGAATGACAACTTTTTTTTTTCGAAAAGAGACTCCAGAAAAATTAGCTAATGTCTCACAGTTGGCTACTAACTTAATACAGTACAATTACTACAACCAACGTCTGTTTATTGTTAAAAAAATTGGAGCACTCAAACCTATAGGCAAGTATGCTAACCGCTGTGACCCAAATTTTAATGCACTATCATATTAAAAAAGTCATTTAATTTACCAAATTTGACATTTCAACACGCTGAATCCGTCAGATGAGAACATGGAGGAGACGAGAGAGCTGAGACGACACAGTGCACTGAGGCGGGACAGAATTTACAGTAGTTTCCTGTAACTGCTCCGCCTGCATTATTTTCACAGTAAAATTCTGAATACGGTATTATATTGTGAAATATCACAGTGAAAGCCTGTAAAGTGATAATAATGTAATTTACTGTGAAATATTAGAGTTACATGTTGTGAAATCCTGGACATTTTTTACAGTGTGGG